CTTGGGCTCCCTGATGACCTGTGACCTGGGAGATGTAAGCCAAATAAACCCTTTCCTCCCCATGTTGGTAGTGCTCAGAGTATCTTTGCCACAGCAATGAAGAGACAAACTAGGACATGGGGTCTTTAGGAGGTGGGGTCTAATTAGAGGAAACAGGTTGTCACAGGAGTGGTTGTGGGTTGGGATGTAGAAGCTCAGCCTTGCTTCCTGTCCTGTCTCTGCTTCCTCTTCTGCTCAGATGTGAGCAAGTAGCTTTTGTCTCCAGCCAGCACAGTTATTATATATCCAACCACCATGTCTTCTCTACCACAATGAGCTGTTCACCCTTAAACTGTGAGCCAATTCCCTTCTGTTAGGTATTTAAATAGTCACAGCAATAGGAAAAATAAGTAACATACTGCTAATTAGTTCTCAGGGGAAAAAATGATACATTATGTTTGTGCTGGATAGCTTTAGTGTCAACTTGACACACTTGGGTTGAGGGAGCATCAACCATAAGACCATGTCTGTGGGCATTTTCTTGCTTATTGAGTGATATGGGAAGGCCCAGCCCACTGTGGGTGGTGCCACCCCTGGGCAGGTGGGCATATGTTGTATAAGAAAGTAGGTTGAGTGGGGGCCAGAGGAGCAAACCAGTAAGCAGCGATCCTCCATGGCCTGTGCTCCAGCTCCTGACTCCAGGTTCCTGCCCTGAGTTCCTCCCTAGGACTTCCTGATGAACTGTGACTCAGGAGATGTAAGCCTAATAAACCCTTTCCTCCCTAAGTTGGTATTGGTCAGAGTGTTTTGTCACAGCAATGGAGAAAAAAAACTAGGACAGAAATTGGTACCAAAGAGTGGGGCACTGCTGTGACAGCTCTGACATTGGAGGGTTGTGGAAGTGTCTGGAACTTTGGGCTGGAAAAGCCATTGAGTGCCTAGAATTTGTTGCTGTGGATCTTGGAACAGCTATGCTGAAAGAGTTGAGGACAATGGAGCCCTGGCTTATGAAGCTTCAAAGGTAAGCAGAGACTATCAGGGTTGTTTGTATGATATCTTGAATTGAGAATCTATGGGTTCTGGTTGGCTGGGAATGAAGAATCAGCTGTGATTAAGAAGAGATCAGAACCTGAAGTAAAACCTTTGTTTTACTGGGACAATAGAATATGGCAATAATTTTATTTTTATGAGTCCTTAATTTGGGAGCAAAGTTGAAACTGACCTCAGTAGAACAGAACTGTATACTAACTGCCTACCTCTTTTTTCCTAACCTTACCGTGCAGGCACCGTGCCATTATTGAGGTCTTAGCTGTGGCGTTACTTCCTTGAGATGCATTCCTTGATTACCCTATTTGTCCTTTCTGCAAAGAGTTTTGTGCTAAAGAAGGCTAATTGCCTTACTACTAAATATCAGAACCTAATGTTAATAATTTTCCAAGTGCTTTTGAAAGTGATAAAATCTATATTCTTGGCACTTCATGTTTACATTTCCATGTTCAGGTATGTGTTAGTGTGATGATCTTCCAAACCAAGAAGAGGTGGCACTCCATTTCTCAAAGTCCCATATCTGGGTCAGAACTAAATGGGTATCATTATCCCTTTTAGCCCAGAGAGGCACCAGTGAAATGAAACAATGTGTAATGGTAACGTTTGTCAATGTAAGGGAAAAGAGACGTACTGTCAGAGAAACATGAATGACAGAGTCATGAAACACTGGGTACAGATGAAGCACTGTACCCAGAAGGATTCAATCATGTCAAATGATCTACACGTTACTGTGGAGTTTTGTGTGTAGGGTGCCTACTGCAGCACAGGATTGACCTGCTTGCATTTTTTTTCTCATTTCAAATTTTGTTTACTGATGGCAAAATATTCCTCTAGTACAGCAGGTTAGAAAACCATATTGTCCTTAATCTGTTCCATCTCTGGCTTTTTATAAAAGGACTCAGTCAATTGCCTACTAGAACAAGAACTCTGGTAGAATTTATTCTGAAGGAAATAGAGGAATTAAATTGAGTGGAATATATACATATGTCCACTTTGAAAAGATCATGGGTTCTATAGTGATTTTTTTGGTGGCCCACTCCCATGTTTTGAACATTTTTGTCATTCTATTATGATTCTGCCAACTATAGACGGATGAGTGTTATGGGTACCATGGTCACACAGCCAATGACTAGCTCACAGAAGTACTTGAGGAATTCTAGCATTGGAGAATGCACCCCAAAAGATGAACCTTTATCTCAGTGACTTATATCTGCATTTCAGAAGCTGTTTTTAACTTATAAAGAGAACTTGGTCATGGCAATGTGTGTCTATACAAATTTCTCTGTAGTTTGTAAAACACTGCAAGAATTCCAACCAGTCTTACTTAGGGAAGATTATTACTAAATTGAAGTTGACTTGTAGAGGCAATTTAAAATATGCATATTTACAACCAGCTAGATAATGTTAAACGAACACAGAGTTATTGCTTTTGGCTAACAAATTTCATGAAACACATAATTCCATGTTATCCTCTCAAAGAATTTTATTTGCACTCTGCTCTAACAAATATAGTTTGAAGGCAACAGTTGTTTAAGTGTCATAGTGTACGGCACAGATGAAAAGAAACAGATTTAGAAGCTGCCCAGCCTTTCAAGGCTGGTTTAACAAAAGAGGCACATATTATCCTATTTAGCAATTTATACCAGAAGACATTTTTTTTTCCTTGCAAGCAACAGACTACATTTATTTGCTTTAAGTAAAAACATATCTTGATCAAGAAAATTACTTTTTTCTGATTTTCCTTTATATCACAAATGTCAGGGTAAGGCAAATCCTTAATGAGTCATATGATTAAAAATCCTATTCCTGGAGAAAATATATTGAACATATTCTGCTAAGTTTTTTTTAAGCACAGCCAACATGCACCACATACAGAGAAATATCTTTTCAAATCAAGTGCATCAAGCAGAACTGTATTAATTCACAAAGAGGCTTTTCAGTGTTTCATAGAAAGATTTACAATTAGCTGCAATGATTAATATGTGACCCAGTACCACAGACATTGCTTCGGATGCCTTCTTTGTAAGCTTTGATGAAAGACAACTTGTCTGTCATCTGAATAGTTACCAGCTAGAGGAAAAGCCCCTTTGTCTCGCCTGTAATGAGTACCTTTTTAATTAAACTGTTATGCTCAAGGCCTACTTGGATCCTCTGTATGCAAACCTGACTAATGTAGGGCTACTTTCCTCGCTCCCTCCTAGAACCCTTTATGCCATGTAGGCTGGCAGAGAGATGGTTCAAGTTGCTGTCCAGAATCATGTGTGGAAGAATCCATTGTACAGCCTGTAAAATGACAGGGCAGCAAGCAAAGGATTTTCCCTGTCAAGATATCTTCAGTCTGAGCCAGACCTAAATTTTCAATACTGTTGAAATGTAAACTAACTGCATTTTTTTGTTTTAAAGTATAAAACTGTATAGCCACATAACAACTACAAAGGCGCTACAAAGCAAAAGTGAAACTGCAATCCACAAAAAGAAGTTAAAACAAATTCAGGAGTGAGGCTCCTCATTCTCCTAGTTTCCTGGATACAAAGATTACTTGTATTTTCTATGGTTTTCACAGAACTCTGTCCTCCTGTTTCTAACCCATCCTCCTGTAAGTTGAATAACCCCAATGGCTGCCAGTGGTAAGTAGAGTTGGACTAGAATAATTCCAGCCCTGGCTATTCCTAGTAGGATATTAGGTCTCTTTTATCTTCTTCCTTTTAGAACCCTGTTGTCCCTCTTACCTCCTGTGTGGTGTTTTCCACTCTAACTCATTATGGAGGCTGAGTAGAACTTCCATTGGGAGTCACTGGGAAATGTTTTCCTAGCATAGTTCACTAGTCAGGCACTTAACAAAAATGATGGGTACTTTCCATTGAGCTATGAAGATGGCAAGAAACATTGCAACTATTGATATTTGGATGGCCTCATAGATGAAAGTAATATGTTTTCTAGAAGAACAAGGCTTATCTAATGCAACAAAGATGTATATGCTTTTATATCAAACTGTAGGAAGAGAAATGGCCATGCGGAGATAGCCTTGCTGCTGTGTTGATGAATAGCTTTTAACAAAATAAGAGATGTTGAAAGATGACATATGGAAGAAGTATGATTTGCTAATTATTCCATTATACCAACTAAGCCATACAGAAGAGGCAATAAATTCAGAAGGGTCAGAATTGGTCATGAGAAGACTTTTCCATAGGAAACGGCAAAACTAGAGAATTGGATGGGACATTTAGCAAGCAGGTATTGTCTCCATTTGACTTTAGATATTGTCAATTTGTTCTATTTTTTTCTTCCTATTAAGAATAGAACATAAATGCCATAATTCTGAAGTATTATTTAGAAGGTGGATGTATTCAGAAGCATGCAAGCATGATACCCAAACTCCAGTGGAACAGCCTTGTTGGTGGGAGACAGGCATCTGCCTGGGGTTTACTCCTGGACAGATAGTGGGGATGATACCCAGTCACCTCTGGTCCTCATTCCTTGTACCAACACTGTTCCACTGGCATCTTAAGTTGTTAGTTCTGTTCCCCTATTGGATGAGTAGACAAACCATCAAATCAGCCTTATACTTGACATGAATAAACCATGTCATTTCAAAGCAGACCAAGAAGTCAGGACTGTAAGCAACAGCTCTGATTGCTCCTTATTTTGAGTGAAAGTCCTTGTGGGCCATTACACCCCAGTAACCATGGATGTTCTTTTGTAAAAAAGTATAGAAATTTCAAATAGATCTTTCAAAATGAACATACATTATTAATAGGACTATATTTGAGTCCTAAGTGTAGCAGGCCCCTCTCTTAATCATAATGCCAGTAACACTCTGTGCCATCACACACAAAGACATCTCACTGGTGGGCTCCATGCTGATGCACACAGTAAGGATCTCATGAACCAAGGAAGTTCTGCTGGAAATCAGCCTCAAAGATGACTACACATGCCATCTTGATTCTGAAAGAAGGGACCCCACTAGCTGTCAGGTCTTACCTTCCTTCTTATATCTCTGTGCTGTGAGTTCAATCCAGCTTCCATAGTCATCATAAAATATACAGACCAAACTGTACCTCCGGAATTCCTGATTAAAATTACTTTCAACTCCTTTTCTAGACCTGTCCCAAGTGGACTCTGAGGGTTATGCCCATTTTCTGTCCTTTCTCCTTTGTCTGTGGATTATTCTGATTTAGGTTTGGTGATTCTAGATATGTAGCCTGCAGCTTGTCATTCATCTTCTTATTGTCTGAAGAAACCACTGTATGACCAGCTTTGTGAGATAACCAAGAAAGCAGACGGGGCCAGGAGACACATGTGAATGTTAAACTCTACCACCATGACCCAAGGGCAAGGTGTGGGAAAAGAGACAAATGACAGGGAGAGTGCCTGAAAGATGCCTTAGCATGGGTCCTCCCCAAATAAAGGGAGTGTTTTCTTTTTTTCTTTTTCTTTTTTTCCTCAGGTAAACAGAACAAAATGCAGCTGGAGAATTAGAGCAAAGGATTCCCTTCCTTCCATGGACTTGCTTTCCCCCCACCCCCACCCTCTTCCACAGCACACACTATCATCTTCCCCGAAGTCCCCCAGGGCCAGGCATTGCAATGCTGAGGACTGTCATTTAGCTTCATGTCTTTGTTCCTTTGCTTCATCTTGTGGCCCTGTGGAAGACAAAGAGAAATCATTTGTTAGATTAAAGGTAAGGCATCTTCATAGGCTTAGCAAGAAAGATCTTTTCAGTACAGCCATTGAAACGTCTCTTAGCCCTCACACAGGCCTAGGAATATCTTATTTGACTATCAAAGAGCTTCGGCTATCTGAGCTGTAATTGCTGGCACATGGTATCTTTAAAGAGCTTATAAGTCACTGCTAATAAATGTGGGCCACAAGACAAACTGCTTCAGCTGATGGGGACGATTAACTCAAGTACTCTAAGTATTCTTGGAGAAAAATTGAACTTTGATGTGTCTTTCTTTTTTCAGCCCATTCACAGACTACATTCTGGGGACTGGTATGTAAATAATAATTTATATACTGCTAATTTGCAAAAACCATGGATGGGTAATGCTATATTGCTGCTGCTTAACTTTATTCTGTTCCTGTTCCTTTTTAGTAATGGCTGGCATTACACTGTGTAGATAGATCATTTGTTATCCATTCTTCCATTGTGAGATACTTAAATTGTGTCAAGTACACAGTATGGATACTAATGGGTTCAGTGTGATATTTCTGTTCATGCACACAGCGTGCAGTGTTCTATCCCAACCTACTTCAACCCCATCCCCATCTACACCTTTGTCAATTCCTTGTTATCATGCCCCTTAGTTCAGGCTAGCATTTTTTAGTCTAGTGTCTGGCTTATTTTACCTAACATAATACATTATAGTCTCTTTCATTTTGTTGCAAATGACAAGATGTAAGTGTTCTTGATGTATGAATAACATTTCATTATGACATTTTCTTTATTCATATGTTCATGGGCACCTAGTCTGATTCTGTCTTGGCTACTGTAAATAGTATCACCATAAATGTGTGCGTGAGGTATACACACTCAGGACTGGGATAGATGTGTCATACAGTAGTTATATTTTTCATCTTTGAGGAACCTTCATACTGTTTTTCACAATGGTTGTACTAATTCACATTACCACCAACACTGCAAGATTCTTTTTTCTTCACATCCTTACTAGAATTTTTAAAATAGCAGCTATTCTAAATGGGGAGAGATGGAATCTCATGGTAACATGTTTCCCTGCTAGATAATGATATTGAACTTTTTTCATATATTTGTTGGTTTTATTTATTTCTTTTGAGAGGTATCCAGATCATTTGCCCATTTTTTATTGGGAAATTTGCTTTTCTTGCTGTTATTGAGTTCTCTATATATTCTCCATATTAAATCTATCAGTTGCATAATGAGCAAACGCTATCTTCCATTCTGTAGCGGTCTCTCCACTCTGCTGTGTGCTTGCTTTGCTGTGCAGAAGCTTTTAGTTCTATGCAACCCTATTTAAGTTTTCCTTTGTTCTTGTGCTTTTAGGATCTTATTCAGAAAAAAAATCACTAGCCTATACCAGTGTCTTAAAATGTTTATTTCTTTTTATGAATAGTTTCAGAGTCACAGGTCTTAGATTTCTTTTTAGTTGATTTTTGTAAAGGGTGAGAGATAGAGGGTGAATTTCAATCCTGTGCATGTGGATTCTGGCTTTGCAAAAAACACTTCTTTAAACTGTTGTGCATTCTCTAGGGAAAGTACCTGTTGGTTCCAGTTGGATGGAACTCTGAGGTCCCTATTTTGTTTCCTCAGTCTCTGAGTCTACTTTCAGGCCAGCACTATATTAAATCTACCATAGACGGCACTGTGATAGGGATTACACTGAGTTTCTAGATCATAGTTTGCTAATACAAATAGTTTAACAGTTCTAGTTCTTCTAATCCACGAACATGGAATGTCTTAGGTGTGTATTTGATTACATTCATCAGTGTTTTACAATTTTCTCTGGATAGGTCCTTCACTACTTTGGTTAAGTTTATGCCTGATAACTTATTTTTGCTTTTAGTTATTTTGAAGGATTGCTTTCCTAATTTCCATCTTTTCTTTCTTGGCAAAGTTATTGTGGATGTACAAAAACAATGGGGTTTGATGTTGACCTTGCATACTGCTTCTTTACTGAATTTTCTTATTAGTCTAACAGTGTCAGAGTTGAAGATTTTTTTCTCCATATGATCATATTATCTGAAAACATGGATAAGCATATTTCTTCCCTTTACATTTTTTTTTAAAATACAGGGTCTCCCGTAGCCCCAACCTGGAACTCATTATGTAGACCAGACTGGCCTCCATCTCACATATATCTGCCTGCTTCTGCCTCGCAAGTACTGGGATTAAAGACGTGTTCCACCATGCTGACGTCCCTATCCATTTTTATGCCTTTATTTCTTGCCTGTCGCTTTCTCCAAAAGTTCTAGTACTGTTGCTAGTAAGAGTGAACATTTGTGTTCTTACTGATTCGCAGTGGTTTGGATGTGAAATGTATACCATGGCCTCATGTGTTTCAGCACTTGGTCTTCAGAGAGTTGTACTGTTTGGAGACATCGCAGAACTATTTAGCTGGCTGATGCAGGGCACTAGAAGCAGGCCTTGGAAGGTTGTATTCATGTCCAATTCTGGTCTAGCATTCTGATGCTCCAGGATATGAGAATGTCATACTGTAAGCTCCCAACATCACAGACCAGGCTGCCCCAGCCCAATGAACTGTACTCTCTAAACTGTGAGTCAACATCATCTTCTCCCTTAAGTTGTTTTTGCTTGGCATTTTGTCACAGGAGTGCCAAATAATACACTATTTGGAGAAATAATTCCAGCTTCCTCCCATTTGCTATAGTCTGCCATGTGTATTTTCTATTATACTGAGGAGCGATCTTTCTGAATTTTTATGATGAAGTGATGAATTCCATCAGATTATTTTCGTGCATATATTAAAATGACCATTTCTATTTCTAGTCTACTCATTTGAAGTATTACATTTATTGATTGATATATATGTTGCAACATTCTGGGATAAAATCAACTTGATCATGCTGAATGACTGTTTTGATTTGCTAAGATTTTGTTGAGAATATTTGCAGCTGTTCATCAGGGAAATTGATATTGGTCTACAACGTCCCTTCCTTTCTGTTTTCTGATCTGGTTTTTAAATGCTGGCCTCACTGGGTTCCATCTCTTTCATTTTTATAATAGAATATTTTGAGACAAATTGGAATGAGTTCTTTGAAAATTTTGTAAAATTGAGCAATGAAGACACATGATCACTGAGGGGTGCCCTTGGAGGTTTTGTTGGAACTCGGGCCCTTTCTTGTCTTTTTCTTTTTGAGTTCTGGCCTCATGAGTTGAGCAGCCTTGCTACCAACTCTCCCTGCCACGACCCTCTGCCTTTCCACCAGCCCGAGTCACAAACCAACCTACCATACTTACACATTGACTTTTTTCAGAATGACTGAAAAGTAACAAGAGACAATACTATTTTATACTATAAACTAACAGAAGATGATGTTGACTTTGTAATCAAGTCCTAAAGGAGATGTGGGAGCACCTTAAGTTGATAACCCCTGTTTTTAGTATCAATTCCCATTAAATTAAGGTTCAGTGAATAACAACTATGTACAAGGTAACTTTCCTCCTACCTTCTTGGGAATAGTAATATAAAAATAAAAGTTCCAAATATTATATGTGTTTGAAGCAATTAAGTAATAACCAATTCCTATAGAGAGGAAATAAACTATAGCAGGGATGACAGAAAACATAGCCTAATTTATGACTGTGATGCAAAAATCTTTTAATAAAGTATACCAGGCTTGAAGATTTGGGAATGGAACTGAAACATTATTATTTGGTATCTCTGGTAGATTGGCTCTAGATATATGGAAGGATATCAAATATTTGTATCCTCAAGTCCCTTGTGTAAAATAGTGTGGTATTTTTATATAAACTCTGCACATTCTTCTATACAACTATTTTAAATTTATAGGTATGAATATTTTACCATCATGTATATAAGTGTACTATGTGGGCCCTTTGCAAGAGCAGCAAGTGCTCTTAACTGCTGAGTTATCTCTCCAGTCCCTAACTTCTAAATCATTTCTAGATTACTCCAGAACCCAATTTAATGTAAAGTTTTATAGTTGCCATACTGCATTTTGGGGGGAACAAGAAGAAAAGTCTACATGTTCTATAGTATAGATAACATTTTTAAAAGAATATTTTCAATTCATGGTTTGGTGAATCCATGTAGGGCCCATTGTATTATATAATATGCATTACAATTAGGTAGTTCAGAGAACCAGTGTGGTAACAGTGACTCAGCATGTAAAATCAGGTAAATCAACAAGTTTTGTCATCTCTATCAGGAAGATTTAGTGTAGATGATGTCTGAGTTCACCTTTTTTGTGGCCTATATTTTAAAGTATAATATTCAGGGTCTGTATGCATGCATAAAAAGCAGTGGCATGCTTGCCATGAACAATGTTTGAACTATTCAACAGCAGGTAAGAGAGGAAGCAATCCTATCTCTGTCACCTGTGTTTGGAAACTCACTGTTGCACACTTATCAAATAATCCTGAATTGGAAGTATTTAAGCTTTCATTCATGTTTATGGTCAAGGAAAATATTAAGTATGTAAGAAAAAAAATTCAGAATTTATAGTTTGTTGGCAACTAAAGAACAAAAGGTCAGGAAACACTGAGGAGCAAATTGTTCAAGTTTAGTCACACTTCATTACTTTCTAATGGAAACTTCTAAGCTATATAATTTCTGAAGCTTAGCAGAACATTTTAAAGTACATGAACAAGGTAAAAATGTTTATAATACCCTGCTTATATAACTAGATTTTTAGTAATTTTGTCATTCACATATTACATGAATTATGTTTACTGTTACGTAAAGTTTAAGATCATCATGAGAAGGGTAGTATGTTCTCTCTCAGCCTCAGACTTTATTTGGCCATGATGCTGGAGCTCAGGTCTGGTGCCAGGTAGCCTTCTGGGAGGATGCAGAGAGCAAGAAGACCCAGGAATGAAGGAGGTCATCATGTCACTGTGTCTCATTGTTCTGTGGTGTTTTTAAAAACATTTAGTTGAATGGGTTAGGCAAGGATTGGATAGTCCTAAGAGTGAGACTGATTTTATTCTCATTCTTTTCCATAGCCCTCTCAAGTCACAGAAAAGGGTAATAGATCACTCATTGCTCTTGTATGGTCCAGGTATTTCATTTTCCTGGGACTTGCCTCAGATTTGTTGAATTCAACATATCTTTGTGGAGATGCTTGTGTCCTCAGGTAGCAGTGTGGTACCTAAGGGGTGGGGATGACTTTTACAATGTGGACGTGCTCTGGACAAATGATTGTGATCTAACATTGCAACGAAAAAGTTAGTATTAAATGATCTCAAAACATAAGATTATTTGTTTATGATGAAAAACAAGCTTACTAAGCCTCATATCCTAAAACATACATCCTTAATCCCTTTATGATCTTTCCTTTCCCCTGACCAAAAACAACGCATGGCTGAGTATGTTTTACATATCAGGTGCTGGAGCAAAAGATATTTTTGAAAACAATGATAATTATCCCTGTGTGTTACAAACAATATGAGATTAAATTGAATACATCTGTTTCTGTGCTGTTCTAGGTCAGTACAGGTTGGAAAGAACAAAATCCTTTTGGTAAGATAAGGGTCCAGTTTTACTTCCCCGTTTCATCCCTGGATGTACCATTTTAATAAAAAAGGGGAAGGCCTTTGTTCAAGAACACATTTCCAAGAAAACTCAGAGGAAAGGCTCTCACAGCAATTTGGGTCCCCTCTTGGCTAAAATGTTTACAAAGAATCAGGCTTTTTTTATTCAGGCATCATTGTAATGTGGCATCATGTGCTCACACTAAAGCACTTCCTTCCTGTAACATACATTTATATGCCTTTATATATTCTTCCAGGTAAAGATTTAATGTTCTGGTTAAAAACAAATATACAACGCAACAAGTATTTTCTGGAAAAACAATGTTTCTGGAATCAACTTGGGGTTGTTGAAGTAATTTGATCACTCTAGGAGGCAAGGGGGAAGACTAATAGAAAAATGTTTCCTGTTGTCAAAGCAGGGAAATCCAAGGTGCCCCGTGATTTAAGCATGCAATGGCTAATCTTTATCCCTAGAAATTTGACATCTTTAAACAGGAATCTTTCCTCTTAACACAGTGTTATTTGGCTTATAGATTTTTAACTACTTTCAAGCCACACTCTGGGGCTTGAAGAAACCAGGGGAAATCCATTTGCAAACCATGTCTTACGGCTGGTTCATCACCTGAAAATCCCTCCATAGGATTACCCTTACCTATTGGTAATCTTCTTGCTGAGTCTCTGTTGGGTCATGTACACTGTCAACCTGACTATTCATTTCAACTGGAAACAGAAAAGGAAATAGTAAAGATAAAATAATTATCAAACCCAAATTCATTAAATGCTACATAAATGCATTAAAATGGAAACGTCCCAATTTCCTGTCTTACACCTTTTCTTTATTTCATTTACTCACAGCTTGGTTCCCACCTATACCAAGATACAACAGTGGTTCCCAAGGAGGGCGGGATTGACTCTTCTCCCAACTGTAGAAGCTGAGCTGCCATTTCGTGCAAGAATCTATGGTTTGGTAGTTTGAGTGTATTTATTAGCATGCTTAAATAAAGTCAAAGACCCTAATAGATACCTAAGAAAACAAAGAGAGAAAACAAAGCAGATTGTTGACATGCAGAGAAGTGGGAATGTCAATAGACCTGTTTGGCTTGCGGTATTTTCAATTTCAGATTCAAAACAGTCCCTGAAAATTTGCCACTGGGTATGGCAGTATAGATGCCATGAGGCAGAAAAGCAGCACCTTTAACTAGATTCCACAGCCATGAAAAAAATGTGTGCTTTTAGTTGCCTGTGCTCATTCTATGTGAGCATTTGCATAAAAATAGGATGTATAATTACTGCTTTTCTCTAGAAGTAGCTCAAAGCAGTCACTCTGGAATTTTCCAAGGGTCAACTAGTTTAATGAGATTGACATTTTTAAAAAAGCATCCAAGCCCGCATTTGTAAGCTAAGAAACTTAATACAGAAATGGGCAATGGGGGAGTGGAATAAATACCTCAATAGAGTACTTGCCTTGAATGCACAAGTCCTGGGTTATATCCTAGTGTCTCTCTCACACACACATACACACAGAGCAAACACAATGACCAGATAATTTACAACAGTAAAACTATGACTTAAATCCTTTGCAAGCAAAGCAAAACTTCTGGTCCAAAATGTCCAAGACCTATGTCAGTGGTCATCAGCTTTCCTAGCTTCCAACTTGGCCACAAACAAGGAAAGTTAACTATACTCCCTAACCCAGTAAGTAACCTCAGACACTCAGACACTCCACTTCTAGTTAGCATTCTCCAACTTTTCCATGTCCACTTCCAAACACAGGATGCCAGATGCCTTCTGCTTTGCGAACTGTACAACCCCTCTGTCCTGCCCTTGAGTCTGCCAAGCACAGGGATACTAGCTGACATCTTCACTTTAATAACCACTTATTACAGTTTATTCTTATTTGGATGTCTTCATTTATTTGCACAAAACAAGTCTAAATTTCTTTTCCAGAACATGAAAGCTCAGAGAAAAATAACAGCAAATGCTGGTTCTGCGTCACAAAGACACTTGAGAAAGCCACGCTACTGATGGCATTCCATTCACCACTCTCCCACAAGGTAAGTTTTAAAAGCTGGTCTCTCTGCTCTTACCTGAAAATTACTCTAGTTTACTGTGATTTGTGAGCTCACTTCCAACTCCATTTGTAAACTGGCCAGATGCAGCAACTGTGTTTAAAGAAAAGCATTCATACACCACAGTTCTATCTGCCACACAAGACTTTTGTAAGTGTTCTCTTCTCAGAGTGGACTGACTCTACAGGGCTAAATTCCTGGAAGCGTACCAGGTATGGTGGCTCACACCTTTAATCCCAGCTCTCTGGAGGCAAGTGGTTGTCTGTGAGTTCAAGGCTAGCCTGGTCTACATAGTGAGTTCCAGGTGGGGCTACAGGGAGACCCTGTCTCAAAAAAAACTAAAAAACAAAAAAGAAAACAAAACAAAAAAAACTTGCTTTTATGGGGCTGGAGAGATGGCTCAGTGGTTAAGAACACTGGCCGTTCTTACAGAAGAAGACCCTGGTTCAAATCCCAGCACCCATATAGCATGGCAGCTAACAACTGTCCATAACTCCAGTTCCAGGGGCTCTGATGGCCTCATCTGTCCTCCGTGGGCATTGCATGACATGGATATACTTACCTACATGCAGGCAATGCACACATATACATAAAATAAAAAATAATAACATATTTTTAAAATTCCTGGAAGCATTCATATTCTGTTCCTTTTTCCAGTCAAAAGACACTTGTTCCAGAACTTATTAATGTTCTATAAACAGCATTCCATGCTCAGATAACTCCGGGAGAGAATATCGTTAAACTATATGAAAGAATTTCTGAGAACCTGTGATTCCCCCACTGCACCTCATGGCTATCCAAAAACAAAGATTCAGGATTTCACACATTTGTTTTCCTGTTACTTGAGGAGCAGTGTATGGGCCTCACACTCCTCAGAACCTGCTTTATGAAGTGGTAAGAAACCATATCTACAGCACTATGGGCAGGCTGGAGCAGGTTCCATTCTATTGAACATCACTAACACATTGGGATTTTTACTGGATGGATCTCAGGTTAGAATATCTAGATGATATATGCCTGTGGGTAAAACTGTAGAAGGGTTATTCAGTGAGGCAGTGCAGGTGACAGCATGCCTGTGGAGGGGGGAACTTTATTTAGAGGCACCATACTACTTCCACGGCCAGCTGAATCATTTTCAAGATCATTATCAATGCAAAGTAATTTACTTTTTCTTCTTGACCTAAAACAAAACTCGAATCAAGGTGGAGTAAGGTGGCTGAATGAGAAGTTTGATGTGTGTCTCTTCACAGACACACAGCTGGAACAGTTAGCTGTTCCCACAGAAATTAGGGTCATAAGAATTCAATGATCAGATGGGAGACCATAGTGTCTGCTTTTATTGTAACAAGATGAAAAGACACAAGACAGGCTGAAGCTAGTAGGTACAGCAGAGTCCCTCTAAGCAGACCAGAAGACAGGGGTGAAGCTTGCTTGGGAGAGGGAGGTATAATTAAGGGAAAGCCTTAAACTTGAAACCCAGAACAAGGCTGGCCACAGTGAAATTCATAGCCCTATGGCCCTACTAGTCCAATACCCAAAACTGAATCACTAAACTACATCAAGCCAGGCAACTAACCACCTCCACAGTCCCTCCTTAACTCTATGGTAGGAGAGTGGGGAACAAGGCCTTCTAGAGAGAAATATATGAAAGCCAGCACACACAGATTTGTCTGGGCCCTGGAATTGAACCTGTTGAGCTATAACCCAGGACCTGTAGAAAGTGAAGACCCAGTTTGCAAGCCAGAACTCAGAGATGGTCTCTAGACCAGATCTCACATCAGGTAGAGACCTGTGTACTTGAGGAACAGGTCCAGCCTTGTCAGCCTAGGGCACACATGTTGTCTTTCTGCAACTATGCAAGTCTGCATCTATGAGACTTAAGTAGTGGAGACAGTCTCTAAGCTGGGTCAAACTCATCTCCAACCTCAGGCAACATCGCTTTAACAAACCAGTTAACCCTGTTCTAGCATTTTTCATGTCACCAGGGATAGACTGTACCACAGTAGGCTTGTGATTTGGCCTATAGCACTACCAACTGTAGTGTGGCCCAAGGTGTACCTGACTATGTAGATCCTTGGCTTAGCATCAGTGAGGACTGCCTTGACCAACACTACCTCAAACTAGTTTGGTTAGAAGACCACATTGCTGGGGATAGGACATGTTAGGAAGCACTAGGTTTCATCCTGGAACTTAGGTTTCACCAGCCCTAATAGCTCCCATCCCCAGGGTTGGCTACTAACAGAGCCTCTGGAGGAGCTCCAGTACCAGGAGCTGACAATGGCTGTTAGACTTCTAATCCATCAAGCATTGCCTAGGGCTGGTTGCAGCAGCCTTCCACCACAAGCCCACTTCACCAGTAAATGACCATATTACTGTGGGCCTTGTACCTGCCCCACTGTTGTGCTGATCTTGGCAGACTGTGGACTCATGGCACAACACAACTTGGCAGCACTGGTGGCCACAAGCGTGACATAGGAGCTAGAGGCTATTCTAGCAACAGTGCACCTGTCAGAAGTCAGGCAGAACCTGACACTGGCACCTCAATACCATCTGGAAACTCTGGATAAAGCATTTGGGCCTACCCAACGCCAGAGACAGGCTTATGGGAAGAGGGCACAGTGTTTCTACACATTCTATTTATTTATGAACAGTAAAATCAAGAATGCATTTGGACAAATTTGGGCTTGGATCTCCATCTAATGCTGAAACAGAGTCCCCACAGGTTTTGACCTGGAAGCCATCCAGTACTGAAATAGAGGATGGATGATATAGTAAAAAGAAGCAGACCTGTTAGAATTCCAGGAAGATGGGAACTAATGGAGTTGGATAGATATTTACTGTTCTCTCAGTGCCTACCTGGCACCACATGCTAACAGGTATCAAGCATTTTGATTCCACCTAATGGTCAAAATAAGGTAAGAGAAACTGACTGGGTAGGAACTAGTATAGGAGAACTCTCAAAGACTTCAAACTCTTGTTTCAAGGAACAAGTGTCAAGAAGCTTGAAGAAAACAGAAATGTAGCAAAGATAGGAGGAATTAAAAAAAAACAACCAAATTCCTGAGCTGAAAAATATACTGAACAAAATTAAAACCACAATAGAAGGCATCAGTAGACAGTGAAACAGAACAATTACAGGGAATGTATGCTACCTAGAAAAACACAATTGAAAAAGGACGATATTGGAGACTTTGGGACAGCATTAAAAGAACAAATAATTGGGTAATTGGAGTCCAAGGAAGTTTTAAGGCTGCCAAAGGAACAGAGACGTTATTCAAAGAAATAATAGAAGTCTTTCCTCAACAAAGGTACAAATATCCAGGTATAGGAAGGCCAAAAGTCACCAGCCAAACCTCACTTAATCAAGTCTATCCCAACATAACTCATGATTAAAGGTAAATAATAGATTCTCAAGGCTACAGTAGAAAAATATTTACAAGTGTCATAAGTCACCTAAAACTGACTTCTCAGCAAAAATAGACAGGCCAGGAAAGAGTTTGTGGCATGGGATTTTTTTTTTTAACTTTTACAAAAACTTTGAGAATTTCATACATGCATATAAGGTGTTTTGATCAAATCCATGGTGACTCCCTCCCAACACCTCCCATATCTCCCCATAACTTTTTTCTTTTTTTTTCTTCTTTCATTCAT